GTGTATGTGGCTGGTGCCCTAGCTGCTGAGCCACAGGTGCCAAGCCATGTTTTTTTTTTTTTTGATAGAGTCTCACTTTGTTACCTTCGGTAGAGTGCTGTGGTGTCATAGTTCACAGCATCCTCAAACTCTTGGGCCCAAAGGATTCTTGTGCCTCAGCCTCCCAAGTAGCAGGGACTACAGATGTCCGCCATAACGCCCAGCTATTTTTGGAGAAAGGGTCTTGCTCTGGCTCGGGCTGGTCTCAAACTCCTGAGTTGAGGTGATCACTTTGACCTCCCAGAGTGCTGGGATTACAGGCGTGAGCCACTGTGCCTGCGCCAGGCCTCCCTACCCAATTTTCCAAGCATTTAAACAAAGCATTTTACCTTGATATTAGATTATAAATTACACCATTGCAGCAGAAATAGTTTTTCTCTCTTAGTTCCAAAATTGTATTCTGTGCCATTGGAGTGTGCCTGATGTGTTTGTAATGTGTTAGGGTATTTATTTCTCAGGATGTTACTCGTAGTTAGGATGGAAGACATAAGCTCTTGCTCATTGAAGCTTTATGTAAATTTGATATCAGCCTCATATAAATATTTGTGTTCCTGGTGTGCCAGAATAAAAATACTTCGGAGAATGACATGGTGAATTTGCTGTCTTTCAGGTCTCTGCGGTGTTGTGTGATGATGAAATAATGCTGACCATCAAACCAGGGGAACATGGGTCCACGTACGGGGGCAACCCGCTGGGCTGCCGGGTGGCTATTGCAGCCCTTGAGGTAAATATCGGTATAGCCACCAGTATCTATTTCTTTAAGTAGGATTGAAGTGATTTTTTTTTCTTTTTTTTTTAAGAGATAGTCTCACTTTAGCGCCCTCAGTAGAGTGCTGTGGCATTACACAGCTCATGGCAACCTCCAACTCCTGGGCTTAGGATTCTCTTGCCTCAGCCTCCTGAGTAGCTGGGACTATAGGCGCCCACTACAATACCCGGCTATTTTTTGTTGTTATTTGGCCAGAGCCAGGTTCGAACCCATCACCCTTGGTATATGGGACCCGCGCCCTACCCACCAAGCCACAGGCGTCGCCTGGATTGAAGTGATTTTTAATTTGGGTGCACCCACTGGTGTAATAAAAAATTTTTTTTTTTTTT